CTCGAATGTTTTAATATAAAAAGTATTAATATTAATATGTGAAGAAAATCTTTATACCCAATTTAGGAAAATTTAACAGACGAGTGGAGTAAGAAATTTCGCACAATTATGACTATAAAATGATTAAAATATAGAGGTGCAAAAAGCATTTTTTTTTTACTTTAGCATAAATACTATATATATATATATATATATATATGTATATATATTATTTCTACTATGCCCTTGATTAACAGAAATAAAACATTATCATCATTCAGGTGTCAAAAACCAAATCTCAATTTAAATATCCAAATAATAATTTCAGTAATTCGTTACTCAATTAGAATGTTGATAAGCTATTGTGAATTATCTACTGATAACAGTATTACGTAATCACAGCATTGCTTTTAGTGTTGTTCGTATCCGTTGGTCAGTATTGACGTGTTATGAGTTTTACTGTTATATTCACGGATTGGAAAAAAAAACTTTGGTAAGTAAACTTTTTTTTATTTGCTAACTAGCTGTACTCGCGACTTCGCACGCGGAGTAATTTAATTATTCTATAATATTATTTTTCTAAAATAAAAGTAGCCTAAGTTACTCCTTATTACATCAAAAAAAGTCGCGTTAAAATCGGTCCAGCCATTTCAGAGATTAGCCGGAACAAACAGAGAGACAAAAATTGTAAATAATGTTATTTTGGTGTATGTACCGTATTTATATTCATATGCATGTACTAAAAAACGATTATTTCAATATTACAAACAGACACTCCAATTTTATTTATATGTATAAATAACTATACAGTATGATACAAAAGGCGGATGTAAACTAAAAACATTCTCTACCTGTCGCTATTATAGGTACAAGATGATCGGTAATTATCGATTTTGGTGCTTAATTAATTAAAGGAATATAGATAATAACTAAGATAATCTTAATACAAGGAGTTATAAATACCTTTATATAACTAAATCTAATACACATATATAACAATTAAATATATTTTCTGCTTTATTTATGCTACTACATATATTGAATAAGCATAAATGAAGAAATTAGAATTTAAGAAAATATTTCTTTAAAGTTAAGTGTGCTGTATTTTGAACTATTATTGTAAATTAAAACTTTACTAATAATTACAATTAATCATAGAATACACATTTTAAATTTTACACATATATTCATATTTACGTCCATATTTATTTTATGTATGTGTATAAATTTATTTGTTTCCATACACACTCATACATATGACATAATTCTATACATTAAAGAGGTTATAGTGCTTATGATAACTATACAGGTTAATGAAAATCTTCGGCTGAACATATTTAAATGTGATTTCGTGATCATAAACTATTTATTTTTAGTAACTTTTCTCCGAGTCTCACTTTGTCCCACGGAAATGAATTGTCCAACCACTAGTGAATTTTGTCAATAAAAGTATTTAAAAAAAATATTTACAGTTCTATAGCAATATTTAACAAAAACATCCAGTCAATTAACCAACTACTTGTCGTATTTTGCGGAAATAATCACACGAAAACCGAAATTCCCAGTGACGAACGAAGTCGCTAGTAAAAATAGTATCTATTATATATAGTATCCACATAAAGAAGAATTACCACTGACTCACTGACTATCTCAACATGAATTCAGATTTATAAAACGTATTTATTAGCAATATTCATATTTATCCTTCATAAAAATAGGGAAGTATGTTAAACCGATTGTGACAAATAAATAAATAATTATTTATTTATTTGTCACAATATTGTATTTACAATGGTAGTAATTATATAAAAATAAGTTAGAAACTCTTTACTTAAACTAAAAAATGAAAGGTCATATTTAAATAAATCAATAGACAAACCTATTATATTTGCTATTTACTCCGATTTTCATACGGTAAAAAAAAACGCGATTCGTCTATGGTTTTGACAGATACCCTATGTTCCGCTTTCCGAACACTATCTTAGTATAAACAAGTTCTAATACCGGCTTGCTTATTAGAGTAAAAGGCGCTCGATAATACTGGCCACCAATAAAAATATGTGATCACTTAAATTTAGAACGACAATAATTAATTCAAAATAAGAACTGCAAGAAGGTTTTCCCGGTCCCTTTCCTATTTGTTAGTGTCATAATAGGCAACACTAGCCGCTTGTCAAAAGGAAAGAAAATCTATAAGAAGTAAGAAGTAGTAAAAATTAGTGAATTCGTTGAATTAATTTACGTGTTTTAATGAAATCTACAATCTAGAGTACGTGATTATTAAACTGTACAACACGTCGAAACGATTCTGAGCAAAGGTGAGTAAGTTTGGTGTTACTTTGCTGTACTTTGGAGTGTTCGGAGAGTTCAAGACGTTCTTCCTAGGCAAAGTCGTATTTCTACTTCCTTTTACATAAATAATTTTCTTTTTTAGAAAATACTGTTCAGTTTATTTTATTTTTTCTTCTATATACGGTTTTGTAATCAAAACAACATCCCAGATTCCCGCCAAAATGTATGTGTCAAAACATATTGTTTTTTTCTAAATATAATTCCAAATTTGAATTTTAATAAATGTTCTATATTATGTAAAATAAATAATACCCAGTATGTAACGCTAATCTGATATCGTTTTATAAACAATTTATCGATAGATAAAATACAATTTATACAATAATATCATCAAGTAGTGAAAGTGTAATAAATACTTTACATCAACAGAGATAACGGGAAATACTCAAGTATAAATATAAACAATAAATCAAAATGCCCGGAAGTCATTAATGTATTTATAACTTTTAGAAGTAAAGTAGTATTAAACAATAAAATTATATGAGTATGTAAATAACCTACTTATGGCCTTCAAACTTTATAATTAGTCTCTGATGAAAATCTTTGAGCCAACTGCATATATGCATTTCTTAAATTATTATTAAGTTTTACAATACAGTGTATAATTTAGGAGTATTCAATTAATTTATACTTGGGTGGTGTTCCAGTTATTGTTTTATTAAAAACTGTTCTTCTTCTTTTTAATATTTGGGTTCTAGACAATAGTTCTAGAAATTCTAGACAATAATCCATACAACCTTTCATTTCTTTCATGTTGTGTGTGATTAGTAACAAACAAATAAACGATATATCTACCTATCTATCTATCTCTTCTTTTAATCCCTTACAATAACAATCCTTTTTTCCATTCAAAAGCCTAGTCTGGCCTTTAGAAAGTATATAGGCTACTTTTGACTCTCCTTTTAATCTCTATATCTCTTCTTTTAATCCCTTACAATAATATACCTTTTTTTCCATTCAAAAGCCTAGTCTGGCCTTTAGAAAGTATATAGGCTACTTTTGACTCCCCTTTTAATCTCTATATCTCTTCTTTTAATCCCTTACAATAACAATCCTTTTTTTCCATTCAAAAGCCTAGTCTGGCCTTTAGAAAGTATATAGGCTACTTTTGACTCCCCTTTTAATCTCTATATCTCTTCTTTTAATCCCTTACAATAACAACCCTTTTTTTCCATTCAAAAGCCTAGTCTGGCTTTTAGAAACTACATAGGCTACTTTTGACTCCCCTTTTAATCCCTTACAATCCATTCTCGTCTTCAAAAGTAGCTTATATCCTTTCTAAGGGTCTGGACTATCTGTGTACTAAATATCATTTAAATCATTTCAGTGCTTTTGTAGTGAAAACAAGACAGACAGACATAATTACTTCTGCCTTTATAATATTCGTAAGGATCATGTAGGCTATATAACATCACCTTTCGATCAATAGGAGAGGAACATCAATTAAAAGTGTTGCAAAAAGTTATAAATAAAAAAAAAGGGAAAATTTACTACGTTTTTTTTTTAAACTTTCTCTCTTTTATATAACACTGATGAATTTGTACGGGGTCAGTTTGTTCAGTAATAAGATTTTGCTGTACTAAATAACTTCAGTCTAAATGCTTAACCTAGCTCATTATTTGTGGCCATAACAAGCGAGTGTTCAACAAAAAACTAAACGTTAGTGCCATTAACTGCCATTAACGTTAACTGCAGTTAGCTCGAGGAATACTCTAATTAGATAAACAAAGAGAACATTTAACGTGTTTACGTAAGTGAGGAAATATTAACGTGTCAGGTTTAGCTTCTATTAGATAGTGACCTAAATACGAGTAGCAAGTCGCAGTCGCTATCTATGCTTAAATCTTTAAAACTGCGCAACGGATTTTATAGCAGATTTTTTTAATAGATAGAGTGATTGAAGAGGAAGGTTTATATGTATAATACATGTACACCAGTGCGAAGCCGGGTTGAGAAGCTAGTAATTTACATAATTTACTAATGTTAGACGTAACTTCTTCATCTCTTTTGCCGTTCACTCTTGACAGAGTGGTCGTGGCTTTTATGATGGTATTTCTTCCTTTCTTCTTCCTTGTCTTCCTTAGAAATTATTTTCTTTCTTTCTTTCTTCTTTCTTAGCGACAGAGCTCGTCGCAATTTACCTCCATCTGGTACGGTTTTTGGCTGCATACACTGCACCTCATGTATATAATGTAAATAAACTGTCTTAAAAAAAAACAGAAATTCAGTTGAGTTTCTTGTCCGTTCTTCTCAATTGAATCTGTATACTGTACTTTTCGGTAGGGAAAGAATATAATACAAACAATTTGACGTTTATAAGCGGCTAAAATATCCTAACGAATTTTATATCGAGTAAACAAGCAGTTACTCGGTATTAATGTTCTATAGAGAAAAAAAATATAAAAATCTGTTAACTTAGGGTAACCTCAGGCGTCCATAGGCTACGGTAATCATTCAACTACTACACCAACCAAACATGCATACGGCCCACCGTCAGATAGGCCGTATGTTTGTTTTCCATCATAGTAGTATAAAAAAATCAGTTTCATAAATCCAACAAGGAACTACTGAAGCAATTACCACGATCATACCATCTATAATCATCATTGTCATCTTGAATAGCATGATTTAACACTCACCTACACTTCATAACGCATAGTCCTCTCGACATATGCGCACGCGCCGCTGTAGATCGAAAGCATTTCCTCATTCGATTGTACCGCGTCAACCCAAACGTAACGTTTGAATAATTGTGTTACACGTGATTCCATTTTGTTATTATTCTGGATTTCATGTTGATTATGTAGACATGAACTTTGTCACTGTGAGTACAGATATATATCTTTGGGTATATTTATTGATATAGTATACATATTTATATTGAATAGATATTAGAACAGTAATAAATGTAATTCTTCGTATCATATCTTAGACACTTATGAACTCTATTATCAATTTTTTTTTATTTTATTGCGTTGGCAACTCTATCCCAATTATGTGTAATGTGATCTAATATGTTAAAGTTATCGTGAAATCTAAATAGACGTTCAGAATTATTTATTTAATGTTTTGTGTTGTCTAATATATATGAAAATCTCGTGTTGCGGTGTTTGTATGTTTGAATTTTTGTGTGAATATCGGGTAAGCTTGAGAATCAGCTAACATTTATTTTTCATACCCTTCAATGGTAACCCATCTCTAAAAACTTTTTATATTTTTAACAGTTGAATTTATTTTAAGTATACTCGTATTTATGATTCGACATTTTAAAATATATTCAATCCATTTTCACATTTTCACAAACCGATTTTAATTTATATGGCAAAATAGCGTTTGCGGGGCCAGTTAGTTATTTTATAATCTATACATATAAATAAAATTAGAGTGTCTGTTTGTAATATTGAAATAACCGTTTTTTATATCTATACTTTACTGGTACTTTTGAATATAAATACGGTACATACACCAAAATAACATTTTTTACAATTTTTGTCTGTCTATCTATCTGTCTATTTGTTCCGGCTAATCTCTGAAATGGCTGGACCGATTTTGACGGGACTTTTTTTGGCTAGTAGCTGATGTAATAAGGAGTAATTTAGGATACTTTTATTTTAGAAAAATGAAGTTATATTCCACGCGGTCGAAATCGCGGGAACAGCTAGTAATAAATATACACTAAATACTCTAGATTCGCCCTAATGATCATAACTTTGTGAGTATTGTATAAGGGGGTGGTCTATCGGCGCTACCGTGGCAGATTGCCGTCGTCAGTGCCGTGACCATAGAGACAATTTTATTTTACATATTTTATTATTATTTCTTATGTATGTTAGTCTATAAGGTATTTATAATATGGGCCATGTAGCCTGAATTAAATAAATAAATAAATAGACAGTCATCGTAATATAGAGAGACGAACAGACGAATTTCTTAGAATTCCATGGAGTCACCGTAAGGGTGCCGGGTTGATCATGTGGCAGAAATGGAAACACTAAGCAGTTCCCGGGGTTTATGAGCTGAGTTTAGGTCTTTGCCGATGCACATCAACCCTCACCTTCACCGCTCGTGCTACTTGCCTTCTAACATCGGCTTAGGTTTTGATTTCGAGGGACCGATTGGAAGAATAGAATAGAATAGAATAGAAAATCATTTATTCAAATAAACTTAATTTAAGCACTTTTGAATAGTCATAACAATTTGTTTTTTATCTACCACTCGTTCGGAAAGCTGTCTCATCACAAGAAGAACGAGCAAGAAACTTGTGTGTTGCTCTTTTAAATAATCCTTGTAAGTTTACATTTACAAATCGAAACGTGTGAATACAAACTACCAACAAGCACTAATTTTTTGGGTCAAATATAATCATGCAATAAGATTAAATCAGTCGTAGTGATAAGAGCAGACCAGTCCCTACAAGCAGCACTCGTTCACGAGTATGAGAAGAAACGTTTTATCGAGTTAATTATTGATTTACCTCTATTATTATAATATTTTTTTTTCTTATCTGAAAGTCAGGAAGGATACAGAAGGGATACTCTGTCTCTTATCTTAAAATTTCTATGTATTTGTGTCAGTTGTCCAGTACCCATAATACACGCTCTACTTAGCTTGGGACTAGATGCGCTGTGTGAATTGTCCTGACATATTAAAATAGGCAGACGAAGTCACGGCTGATATGTTATAGTTAATTTCAAATAATTTCAAGTCTGTATCAATATTATGTAGGCATATAGATAATTATATTTTATATTGATAGTTACAATGTAAATAACGTCCGCTCGATAATGTTGATAACTGTCAACTATGACGACCTTTGTTCACAAGTGATATAAAAATCTAAGAAAACATACACTAATATTATTGTGTCTATTTACACTCAAATTAAAAAAAAACAACATTTATTCATGTAAATTTTAGTCGCTTATGAATGTCAAGGATTTTGTCCTTAATATTTGTTCTCTATCGTACAGTATACAGTACACTGATCCCTACTATATATGTAGTATACAGATTCAATTTAGAAGAACTGGCAAAGAAGTAACTCAACTAAATTTCTTTATTTTTAATGCCATTATAATCTATTGAGACTTTATAGTATCAAAAACTACTGAACGGATTTTGATGCGGTTTTCGTCTCTTAACAGAGGGAATTATGAAGAAATTGTATGTGTATAATATGTATGGGAGAAATATGGATAATATTTTAAGGAAGGTGTTACATATAAATGTGGATAGTTATAAGGGCAGAAGAAGGCCGAAAAAGAGATGGATGGACTGTGTGAAAGATGATATGGTAAGAAAGGAAGTAAATAACGCGATGACTGCGAACAGGGATGAATGGAAGAGAAAAATATATTACGCCGACCACAAATAAATGGGATAAGGAAGAAGCAGATGATGATGATGATGATGATGATGATGTATGTGTTTAATATAATGTTCTACTACCCTTGAGACTGAGTTGCTAATACAATATATATATATATAATAGTCTTATTTAATGTAAAAACAGAATAATAATAATGTTTCTCCTGGACAATTGACAAAGGTTGAAGTACTTGCGTCATCACTATGCCTGTGGGTTGAATCGACGATACAATATCGTTTATTCGCGTGATAGTTATCACTTTATCACTGTAAAGTTATATATGATGTGATGATGAGGTATTATTATTATTTTTTTTATTGTAGTATGTTGGTGAGTATACGGGTAGAATGATTGTACTAAATTAACAATTTTATTTGATCGTGTGCTTATTATATTAATAGAAACGCGATCAACATGGAGTCATAATGCGGACTAATTTACACAGAACTTAAATCTGTTTTGTATGTAAACAAATGGAAGGGTGCCGAGTGTTGACAGAAATATTACAAATGTATGCACAATATAAAATATATTTTGATCAGTTCGATCCAGTTGAAGCAGTATCTACTGGTTCGATGATTGTTGATTTGTTCCGCGTCCTCTACTAATTGGTGGTTATGCAACATCACATTTTTACCGTACATGCGTAGTAATATTGTAAAATTAAAAATGTGTCTGTCTATCTGTCACCAGTTGAAAGAATCTTAGTGAAATTTAAAATGGAGATAGGTTGTACCATGAGGAAGATATATATATTCCATTATATAATTATAGAACCCACGACCATCGGAAGTAAAGCGGTATACTCAACCGCTAGACCACAGAGACTGTTAATTAGTGCCTAGAGGAAGGAAAAAGCTAGAACATATGATTGTGGTCTATGATATATATTTAACAATAATTATATGTATTGTATAAATATAAAATAGTAATAATAATAATCGTATATTAGTAACAATCTCAGGACAATTCACACAGCACCATCTAGCTCCAAGTTAAACCCAAAAATACACAGATATATATTTTTTTAATTATTTATTATTATAATAATAATAATAATAATCTCATGACAATTCACACAGCGCCATCTAGACCCAATTTAAGCTAGCTAAAGCTTGTGTTATGGGTAGTAGACAACTGATACAAATACATAGATATTTTTTTTCGTAAATAAATACATATTATACATAGAAAATACCTAGACCAATACAAATCATCATACTCATGAATACAAATGTTTGTGCCGTGCGAGGAATCGAACCCGCAACCATCGGACTGACGTAAAGCGGTGTGCTAGACCGCTAGACCACCGAGGTCGTCGTATATATAATTATATTGTTCTGGTTAAAACACTGGATATGATAGTGAATTGACAATGTACAGAAATGGCAACGAAAGAGCCTTTCGACAGGTGGCACGTGATATCTGCTATTCTCTTCATGTGAATAAACGATGGATGTTACTTTCAATAAAGTGGGTCGTCTGCTAGTTTGCTTGTCAGTCAAAACAGAAAAAACAAAATAACATCAGAAGTTCTTTATAGAAATATTTCCATTTTAAAATCAAATATATTTATAAAGTGGTTCCATTTTTTATTACTAGTATGTAGATACTTACTTACCGGCACAACTTCGTCTGCGTCACACTTACTTGACACTTATCATTATATTTCGACCAGTTTACATATCTTTATAAATAATAGCCTCACTGTTGTACTAGCTGTACTGTTATTTCGATTACCCAATTTACATATCTCTTTAAACTGTAGCCTATATGTTATTCTGATGTATAAGTTACTGTAAAGTTTTATCAATATATTCAATAGTTTTTGCGTGAAAGAGTAACAAATATACCTACATCCATCCATACATCCATCCATACTCACAAACGTTGGTTTATATTATTAGTAAATTTTTTTATTGGTGATGGAATGGTGCATCGCATGCGCTAACGGTTTATTCTGGGAGTCATCATTGGAAGATTATATGATGAAGGGGGCGTATTATGAACTCTTTAAAATCCAGTCAGTTTCCAGGCAGTTCAGTTTACAGCCTTAAACTAGGCAGGTCAGTTATCATGATGGTTTTCTGGGTAAACCGCGTGGAGGTCAACCAGACTACATTACTAACAATCCCATTCCCCTATTACATTGCATGATATAGGTATAAGTTATATAAACCCTCTCATCTGTAATGATATTCATGGTGTGATTCTTAATGAGTAATGGGACCTGCCTGAAAACCAGTGCTGTATAGATATACCTTATTAATGTTGTACATATATCAGCAATAGCTGTATCAGCTGTTATTAGCATTACAGACGTGAGTTTATAGGTTACGTATATTGTTGGATTACCAATCATACATTAACAGATTACTGTTAATATTGGGAATAAAGGTTTTATCTATCTATCTAACTTAATCCTCTTTTAAAATACACATTTAAATAATAAATACAGACATTTATCATAATTCAAATTTGCCTACAGATTCGAATGTAGTTAAAGACAAGAAATGTGTTCTTAAATTAATACACACCTAATCTAAACCTATAGGAACTGTTTTATCTCTCATCAAATGAACTGGATTTAGATAACAAGTATTCCATGAAATATCTCCTTTGGAAAGTACACAATATCCTAAGGAGATAAAAACTTTCGTATCTAAGAATATCCTTCAATTCTTGTCCCTGACGGCCCTAGGTAGCGAACTCTAAAAGGGCGAGCACAATAGATCTATGCAGTTCGCAGTACTATGTTATCTGTGGCAGTACTAAAGTTCTCTTTAGCACTGAAAAATAGCCCAAATCCCTTAAAAATTATTCCCATGTTATATCAATTTATGACAAAATGAATGCATAATTCCATAATGAGATTTTCACGTAAACTTACGTTCATAATTTTAACACGAGTAGGATTATCTGATAAATGTTTGAATCATCCACATATATACTATCTTATCTTAAATAGCAACACAAGTACAGTAAGATTTTGGTGTTAAAAATTTGTTTAACTTAGGTGTCCTTTCAACTCGCCTGAATCACTGGAGTTAGAGTTTTATATGATTCATTGATGTAAACACGACTGTTGAGACGAGTGCAGGATGCTGTTGAAGATAATATGTGACGTGTATTATTTCTAAGTATATAATAATATGCAAATAATTACTAACGTTTGCGCTGATTAAATAGAAAATGAAATATTTATTGGCGGTAAAATAAAAAGAGAACAAAGCAAAACACATGTATATCATTACATAGTATAAAACAAAGTCGCTGTCTCTGTCTATGTATGATTAAACCTTTAAAACTACGCAACGGATTTTGGAACGGTTTGTTTTAGTGTGTGTTAGTGTTTCAAGAGGAAGGTTTATATGTATAATACATGTCCACCCGGGCGATGCCGGGGCTTATAGCTAGTATATTATATTAATAAATCTTACCTAGATTTGAAATATATAAGACAATATCATCTGGAAGACTAATACGGACGACTATATATATAACTACTACGTATATATGACGACTATATATATAAAATCTACTTCCGTATTTTGCCTACCCCAAAATGATATCACACTTTCGAAATCAGAAATCGAAATCACTAACAGGCTCGAGCTATGATTCAAATATCGAACGACGCCACTTGACTATGTCAACCTCTTATACGCTGATAATGACTTGTGTAGTGAGTAAAGTTATTCTTTCCCCTTGTTACAGGTAAATAGGCACTGAAGTTTACAAAATGGCGATGTTAAGTAAAGAGTTGTTTGAATCGGCGTGCGGGGACGTACCATGCAATCACATAGTACATCCATGGAACAAAAGTTGCCTCTGGTCCACGCCAGAGACGTACTTGCAAACGTCAATTGGAAGTGTCAAATTTTACTCTATTATTTATGTGGTATGTAGAAGTAATTTTTCTTTTAAAAAAAATATCTGTTATTTTAATATGTATATTAATTTATGTAGAAGCTAACATGCTCACTATTGTGATTCTAAACTACAGATTAAATAAAGAGAAAAAACATACCTATATGTTCGGTTTCTTATGTAACTGGAATGGCCTAAAAGTTACGATCCACCTGATGGTATACGGTAACCATAGAGATCATTAGTACGAACGATACAGTATCATGTGAAGCCCTTGTTGCCATTCTAGAGGTCTAAGATATCATGATTCTTATCCTGTAATTTGCCTTATCTCATCTTTCAAAATAAAAACATAACTTACAAACTGTCTGGCGGCTGAAATAGGTTTGAGGTAAGTGAAGTGAGGACACGATTTTTAGTGGTCCGCCCCAATGAAGTTTATAGTGTATATAACTGCATTAATATACTATTAAAACAAAGGAAATGTTTCTTAAATAGGTGTAGTTGTTTAGGAGTATACATAAAAAAAATAGAATAGAAAATCATTTATTCAAATAAACTTACATTGAAGCACCTTTGAATAGTCATCACATGTTTTTTAATCTACCGCTCATTCGGAATGCTGTCTCATCACAAGAAGATCCACTCTTTATGCAAGAATATACATTCTAAAGCGTTAGATAGCGAGGTGTAAAATTTGATATACTTAATTATGGTAAATACGTCAAAAATTAACATTTTTTTTAAATTATGTGCATTTTAAACACTGATTTCAGGCACAGTTACTAATGCAGACAAAGAAATGGAAAAAGAAGGAATTTTGGAAGAAAATGGGCGAATATTACTTAAGGTCGACGTTACTGGGGGCCGCTGTCACTGGTACCTATGTCAACTTGAGTTGTTTAATTAGGTAAGGTATGTGATAAAATCGCTTTTTATAAGACTGTTGATTTTTAACAAATCTTAACTCCTACGTAGTATAAATAAAGTTGCTGTGATCATCTGTTACATCTTCTAATCAATACATGGTATTTTAATAGATTCTACGGTTATTTTTATAGTTTTTAAATAGTTAGTTTCTAGGACCAATAAAAAAATATGTTTAATCAAATAAATTATTATATAATTATAATAACGCAGAATTCACACAGCGCCATCTAGTCCCGACCTAAGCAGAGATTATGTTATGGATACTAGACAACTAATATAAACACTTCGATACATTTTTTATTTTATAAATACACATAATATACATAGAAAACACCTAGATACAAACACTCATAATATTTATTGCAAATGTTGGACCATGCAAGGTATCGAACCCGCGACCATTGGAAGTAAACTGATGTACTATACCGCTAGACCACCGCCGCCGTCTTTAACTTAGACCTGACTCTACATTCTAGATGGATGCTGGGCAACAAATTCACATACTACACCTACAACCGGATTCCGTTCACATTGACCGGACTGTACATTTATTTGGAACCACCGAGCCGAAGAGGTCTAATCATTAACTTGTTCTTCAATTTGGTAAGTACCTATTTACTGCTGTAATGCAATGAATTTTTTTATTTGTTATAAATAAATAAATCTGGACAATTTCCACAGCGCCATCTAGTCCCACAATAAACAAAGCTTGTGTTATGGCTAAAAATGACTTACTTAGATATTTTTTCTGTAAACACATACATAATATAAAACACCCAGACCGATACAAACAATCATACTCATAAATACAAATAGTTGCACCATCGAACCCGTAATCGTCGGAAGTAAACCGCTAGATCACCAAGGCCGTCAAAATAAAAGTGGTACATAATATATATGTACGTACGGTTATTTAAGTGATATAGCTCTCACTTTTAGTCTTTACAGATATGCAAATATCAAATGAATCTGAAATTAATGTAATATTAATTTCAGATACATTTGGTATTTGCTTTTATATTTATAATAATAATAACCCTGGACAAATTACATGTTTTCTAGTCCTAAACTAAGAAAAGCTTGTATTTTGGGTACTAAACTTATATCAATACTTATTCTTTTTTTTTTTAAATATACACATAACATACGTATATGTAAATTGTTATTATTTAGTATTCCTATGCCTTTTTTATTTCTCTAGTCCATTCTTGCGCCATCTACCACTTTCTGTCTTCTCTCCTCTACCCAAAGGTTGTCTGGAAGAGATTGCTTATTACTTATTACTTGTTTGTTCTTATAAATAAATATATAAAATACGTAGTAAACACCCATACCGATACAAACAATCATATTCACAAATACAAATGTTTGTATAATGCTAGGAATAGAACCCAAGACCATCAGAAATAAACCGCTACACTATTGAGTTCGTCAAGTATGGACATCCATTCAAAACATTCAGGTTAATACAAGTAAACAAGTTAGAGTACTCTACTAGAATTGAACCCGCGATCATTATTAGGCAAGGCAGTGTCAAACCATTACACAACTATGACATCCAAGAATAGAACTAGTAGTAATAAACAGTTCATAACGATAATGAATCCGTTTGTGTTGTTATTGCACCTTGTAGAGTGATGCATTGCATTGCAACCTTGGTAGCGTTACAACAGCTCTAAATTGCTATATACTTGGCTTGCATCGTTGCATCGAACGTTCCTCATATATCCGACCGCACATGATTACTCGTAAAGGAGGAAAATCAGTGATAGAAACTGAAATCCATGACAAATCATTATAAACGCGGAAGTTTGCGAGCATGGATGGAGGATGGATACTACTCAATGGATTTTAATGAAACTTTACAATAATGCGACTTATACATCTGAATAATAATAATAATAATCTTTATATGCCTCAAACAAAAACTTTTCACACAATACAACTGTTGCCCATATAATAATATAATTTAAAACTAATGAATGAGACAAAAAGGTCTATAACTCAGTGGGGGCAGTGAATCCACCCTCTCTGCTATTCTGTTATAGCCTTTATCAGTAAAATAATACAATATGAGATCAACGACGACGATAGCATATTAAGTATAACACCTAGAATATAAATTTGACCCGAGTAAAACCACGGACACAGCTAGTACATTATAATATCTCTCCGACTCCTTACTAAACACAAGAGCAATAGACTCTAAAACCAATGAATTATGGGGTCCTATTTGAATCGTATTAAGCATATGCATTCATAATATGAAAGACATAAGTCTCAATTTTATATACGTTAATATATTAAAAGGTGAAAGATTAAAAGTTGGAGTCGTGTCGTATCAACAACTAAAGACATTGATGAAAGATAAAGAAAAATGGAAAGAGCTCCACCGACAAGAGCACGATTTTTGAATTATGAATGAATGAATGAATGAATGAATGTTAATATTTATGTGTACTTTTCTTTCTTTACCCAACTTCATAGAATGAGTTATAATTACAGTACTAGTACAGTTAGTAGTATTTTTTGCGTAAACAATTTTAGCATATATTCTTAATATTAATAAGTCAAAAATTTAAGATTATTGAAAAATATTTGTTAATCTTTGTTCTAATAACTATTGAACGAATTCTAATAAAAAAATATTACACAAAGAGATAATTTTAAAAATTAATGATCAGGATGCCTTTTTCTCAAATTCACATAGGTATTGTTACAGTATATAATAATAATAATAATAATCTCAGGACAATTAACACAGAGCCATCTAGACCCAAGTTAAGCTAGCTAAAGCTTGTGTTATGAATACTAGATAACTGATACATATATATAGATTTTTTTTTATAAATACATAGAAAAGAACCAGACTAATACAAACAATCATACTCATGAATACAAATGTTTGTGCCGTGCGAAGAATCGAACCCGCGACCATCGATCGTAAAGCGGTGTGCTAGACCGCTAGACCACCGAGGTCGTCAAATATAGTTGTAATATATAGTTAGTTTTCTTTAATATAGACATAGCATATGATGTTGGGAATAATAAAATGCAACAACAGACGTTCTCAACTGATCAAATGAAACTCAGAAGTTTCATTTGATCAGTTAACGATGTTTGCTATCAGAGCAGTTATTAAAGAAATCACAGCCTTTGAGATTTATAAGTTGAGTTAAATAAGTACATTATTACGTTAGTTAGTACGTTAATACATAATATTAACTACTTGGATTACTGAATGAATATTTGAACGCAAGATACAGTAGAATATAATGATACCTATTTTTATATAATTACCACTATTGTATATGTACAATGCTAGTAATTATATAAAAATAGGTATGCCATATTCTGATATTTAAATAAATAATTATTTCCACAATTTCACAACATATAGTTGGTTATTTTATAGTATTTACAAGGGCATTTATATCACCAAGTCACTTGTTTACACAATTGTATTTTAAACGTAAATTATTTTTATTACTAGCTGTCCCCGCGAACGTTGTTTTGACTTAAAATAAAAAAAAAATTAGGGGTGGACTACCCCTTACATTTAGGGAGATGAAAAATAGATGTTGGCACAAAATTTCATGAGAATCGGTCAAGCCGTTTCGGAGGAGTATGGGAACAAAAACTGTGACACGAGAATTTTATATATAAGATTATTATTCTTTATATTATATATCATCATTACATAGTATAAAAAAAGTCGCTGTTACTGTCTGTCCGTCCCTATGTATGCGTAAATCTTTAAGACTACGCAACGGATTTTGATGCGGTTTCTTTTAACAGATAAAGTGAGTCAAGAGGAAGGTTTATGTGTATAATACATATACACTCGTGCAATGTCGGGGTAGGTAGCTAGCTATTTTATATGTCTCCCTTTGATAGATTTGTCATTGCAGGTAAAATCACCAAACAATGATCACCAAAGTGTAAAAGAAATTATGATGAGATTATTATTATTACTATTAATTTTTTTATTAACTGCAATTTTGATAGTGACATGTATTGCGTAAGAATAAAGAGAATATTTTTAAGAAAGTATTATATATGAAATATATAGATATATAAGAAAGTACTAGAAGGCAGAGTAAGGTCAAAATAGAGATAGCAGAACTGTGTGAAAGATGGTATCGCAAGAAAATAACGAGATAACTGCGAATAAGAATGAATGGAAGAGAAAACATTAAGCTGAGCCCAAAATGAATGGGATAAAGAAGAAACAGGAAGCAGAGGATGATGTTATTAGTTATTACATGTTAAATGTGTATAATGACGATTTGAAGTAGTTGTTTTTCTTGTGATATTAATATTTATGCTCAAACGTACACAATAGATTTCAAAGGTCACATAATGTCATTGTGTTTGCTCGTATTATAATACAAAGATAGTCATACAATATTCCAAGCTTAGATATAGAGATCGTAACTACCTACAGTATTTTTATTTATTTTATTTATATTCTCTTATTGTCCTTCTCTTTGACGGCCTCGATGGTTTAGCGGTTTACATCACCTTACTTCCGATGGTCGCGGGTTCGATTCCTTGCACGGCACAAATATTTGTAGTCATGAGTATGATATGTATTTACGAATATATATATATATATGACGACCTCGGTGGTTTAGCGGTCTGGCACACCGCTTTACGTCCGATGGTCGGGGTTCAATTCCTCGCACGGCACAAACATTTGTATTGATGAGCATGATTGTTTGTATTAGTCTGGGTATTATCTATGTATTTGTATCAGTTGTCTAGTACCCATAACTTAAGCATTAGGTATCTTTACTTGCGTCTAGGTGGCGCTATGTGAATTGTCCTGAGATTATTATTATTATTATACCAGATATATAACAGGATTCAAAACTATTTATATATGTTGCACTGTACAATTATGATATAGATATATTCACGCACATAATATGCATATTGTTAGTTAGTAGCAACGTGGAGAGACGGACGTTTTGATATTAGTCATTAGTATGTTGCAAATATTCATTATTTCTGTAAAATACTTTATTTATTGTAATAGAATACACATGCGGTCTTATCACTTACGCAATTTCTTCCAAACAACCTTTGGGTAGAGGAGAAAAACAAAAGGTGGTAGGCGGCGCTAGAATAGTATAGTAAAAAATTCATTACCATATCTAATAGTGCTAAATAATAGAGGATATAATACACAGCACTATCTAGTAACAAACTAAAAAAAGGAAGTAGTATGTTTAACATTTAGTAGAAGTATATTCTACTAAATGTTAAAAATCCTTTTCATTATGTTTATATTCCGCGAGAATCGAACCAAGGTACCGGTGTCAGTTTTTTTCTTATTATTCTGATGTCATATAACATTTGTATATACATGCCAAGACTTGTAATCTTAAAGATGAAGCACTTAGATGTACAGTGTGCAGATAAATTCTTTAGTCTATCACATATAGAGAATTGACTGTTGAAAAACATATAATACTTAATTAATAGGTAAACGGTACTTTCTTATCCAAATATAAAAAACTTTATTTTCTATGCTGATTGAATAAAAATGTTATTTGTTTTCTATTTTTTACAGCTTGTTGAATACTACCTTCGGTCGCTACAAAGAGCTGGATATTTGGAGATAACAAAAGCAAGACAAACATTACTGTTCATGGTCGGTAGCTCTCTCCTCTTCTACCTCATGAGATTGGAAGGAGATAAAGAACAACGTACTCCACTATTCTGGTAAACAAACTTTTTCTCTTAAGAATTTAAGAAGATTTATAAAGCGTTTTAATCTAGTGGCTTAGAGATCCAAAGGTCGTCGTGAGTTCTAATTTGACAAAAACCAAAACACCATTAAACTTATATAAGGTGCTATCGAATTCTACAGGGGCAAGAGGATTCTTAGTAACGTGGATGGAATAACCTCATTGCTGTATGCTACATTGAGAACCAACTAGAGGTCAGGTTGACATCCAGTTGGTTCTCCCTGGAAACTATCGTGATAAATATATGGTGAATTTATTACGATGGGCTAACTGTCCTGACCTCATGTTTATGTTACCATCCTCCACTGGTGCCCCCCGCCAAAGTATACCGTTAGCGCAGTCGGATGCAATATTCCATTATCATCCATAAGAAAAAAAAAATATTGTGCATTCATTATAGGTAATGATGTAAGTGGAATATAACACGTTATATATACATTTCATGCGTAATAAACCCGAATTAGATTTTTTTATATTTGAAATACCTCCAACTTTCCAACAGTCAGGAAAAAACATCCGACAAAACATAGTTACTATTAATATAATTTATGTATGTAGTTGTGTTTTGTCTCCTGATTAATTTCCTTAACTTATAAAATAAAATATGGTACACTATTTTTGAAGTATTAATTACTATAATAATAATAATAATCTCAGGACAATTCATACAGCGCCATCTAGACCCAAGTTAAGCTAGCTAAAGCTTGTGTTATGGGTCCTAGACAACTGATACAAATACATAGATAATTTTTTTTTTTTCGTAAATACATACATATTATACATAAAAAATACCCAGACCGATACAAACAATCATACTCATGAATACAAATGTTTGTGCCGTACGAGGAATCGAACCCGCGACCATCGGTCGTAAAGCGGTATGCTAGACCGCTAGACCACCGAGGTCGTCAAAAATTACTAACTCTATATTACTTATATTGATATTAAAAATAAGTAAGGTAGTTATCATACCCTGACTATCCAATAGAAACTGTTTATAATTTTAATCATGCCCTGTTTATAAGTGGTACTTGTAAGACCTATTTACTTTGAGTAAACCCTCTTCAGCCTTCATTTTGTGTAAGCACGTTGTTCCCACAGTCTAGCGAGCATAGTGAATAAGCGGACTTGATAATTGCACGAAATAATGTTTAAAGAAGCCTTTGTTCTGTATCGAGCCACTTTAATTACTTTACTGTTACAAGGTTTCCCTTAAATGTAGAAGTACGTATTGGTGATGAAATTATACTTTAAAGGAAGGCGCTATGAATGAATTCCTATTATTTACTGACTATAGAAAGATACATTAATTATATCAATAGACACACGTACAATATTAGAGTTTTGTTAAGTAATAGGATTTGCAACGAGCTGTCGGCCTACCTGATAAATGAATTGCTGTTCGTTAGTCTCGCTAAAACTCGAGAACGGCTGAACCGATTTGGCTCATTTTAGTCTTGAAATATTCGTGGAAGTACAAGGAAGGTTTAAACGGTGATAAAATATGAAGAAATTGCATGTTAAGGTTGCAAATTGGTGAAAAAACAACTATTTCATGTTTTCTCATACAAACTGCTGATACTTGTTAAACAGGGTGCAATATTATTGCAGAAATTTATTGCGTAACAAAGAAAAAATCTTTGTTTGACATATTTAATTTTGAGGCAAAACAGAGTTCGCGGAACCAGCTAGTCTATACTAATATTATAAAGCTGAAGAGTTTGTTGGTTTGAACACGCTAATCTCAGGAACTACAGGTTTCAATTATTTTTGTGTTAGATAGTCCATTTGTCTACATAACATTACGCTACGACCGATAGGAGCGGAGCTGCAATAAAAAATATTGCAAAAGGTGGGGAAATGAAAAGCAGACTACGTATACGTTATCATGGGATGCCGTGGGATAACGCTTCGTTGAAGAACTAACTTAGTATCATGTTGAATTTTCTATAATTTCACTAAAATAGGTGACAAAGTAAGCTGCTTGATGGCTGATAGGGGAAACTGAGGTGGGTACTGGGTACTCAGGTCGCAGTAAAAACTAGGTATATAGGTTGACTTTGTAAAAAGTGAGTGGATATGCAGACTTTTAAAGATAAAAAATCTATATAAGATAAAAAAGAATCTTGCAACATAATATGTTGTAAAACTTATATGGTTTTTTATTGATATGTATATATTGATGCAACTGCCCATGTTAATGATGTGTTAGTGGAAGATATGACTGCTTAAGGAGGAAGTGAAATCAGTTAGCCCGTAGTGATAAAATCATCAGGAGTTTATAGCAGGATAGTCCCCATTACTTACAATCCCCTACAAAGTTACGTGTTTACTAGCGAGCCTAGAGTTTATGTCGGTACATTTTCTTTACTATCTATGTATTTTTTTCAGGCTTTATACACCAGAAAAAGTGCGACGGAAAGAGGACGGCTCTAAAAACGTTTGCCCACACGAAGGATCATGCCGGAAATATATACTAAGGGTAAAAAATAATTTATCAAACAATATTTCTTTACATAACTAGACTGGCAAAGATGCTCGCGACCCACTTGATAGAAAATATACTTGAATGAAGAAAACAAATCATAATAATAATAATCTCAGGACAATTCACACAGCGCCTTAAAAAGCTTGTGTTATAGGCACTAGATAACTGATACAAATACATAGATTTTTAGATAGAAAACACCCAGATCAACAATAACAATCTTACTCATGAATACAAATATCTGTGTCGTGCGAGGAATCGAACCTGCGACCATCGGAAGTAAGGCGTGCTAAACCGCTAGATCGTATTATCAGATGCGTTTCCATTCCTGAACTATAACATAATACCTTCGTATCATATAACCTAACAGCTATATTTCATCCTCGAAACTGAAACATAGTTTACTAAGCACAATAGCTAGTTTGCTTGTTGGCAGAAATAGGTGAGGTAGTAAAATGACTATTTACAAAGTATCTACTTTGGGAATTAATAAAGCAAAGCGAGGTAATCCTATCAACTCAAAAATTTGTTCATGTAGGACATTATAGCGGCTTACGAACATCGAGTTCTTATTGTTCTATTAATATTTTTGACCTACTGTCCAGTTGAGTATATTCAATAGGGAAGAACTGGATATGTTATTTTTAAAGCCAAATTATTTGCATTGTCTACTTATATAGGTGTCTATGTCTAACATTAAATGAAAATCCCGTGCATGAACAACTATTGCAATGCACGTTTGTCATTCAAGTAACCGTTTAGTGAGTAGTAGGCTTTGCTCAATGATTTAACAGATGTTTTAAATATATTTAAAGTTATTTCGACTATATTTTTTAGTCTCCAGTTTTAAATTTATTTATATTCAAGGTCTCCGACAAGGAAGACCACCGATCTGATCAAGATCGCTGGAAAGCGTTGGTTGCGAACGGCGTAGAACAGATCGACATGAATATTTTTGGGGGAGGTCTTCCGGACTGAAATGATGATGATGATGATTAAATATATTTAAAGTTATTTCCAGTATATTCTTTAGTCTCCTGTTTTAAATTTGTTTATATTTAAGGCCTCCGACAAGGAAGATCGCCGATCTGATCAAGATCGCTGGAAAGCATTAGTTTCGAGCGGCGTAGAACTGATCATCGCGAATATTTTTGGTAGAGGTCTTTGTTCAGCAGTCGTTGTTTTCTGAAATGATGATGACGATGATGACGATGATTTAACGTTTACAAGACCATTAACAGATAATTTATTTTTCTATTTCAGGGCTATGCAAACTACTTCGGTATTGGTCTCGCTATATCGTTAGCTAGACTGATCATACCCAAAATAAAGACGCCCATAGAAGCTATATCATCCATAAGAAGTAAACATTTTAAGATGGCTTTGTTCTTCGGCAGTTATATCGGTATTTACAGAGTACGACTATATTATATGTTATCATAGTTTTATGAGACATTTTTTACATTTAGTTATTAAGCATACGGCCCGTCTTGTAAAAAGCTCAGTCAATGAAACGCTTGCTACACTAGAAACCTTATTCAGGCGTCGTCGACATGAAATCGAACCCGATAAATCTACTAACTTATATCTTCAAATACAAAATGTAGCATTTAAGCTACTTGATAGTCCAAATAATGTTAGATGTACTAAGTTATAAGTATAGATAATTTACTAATTAAATTGCATAACTTCTCAAAGCATCCTTACTATATAAAGACCTTTAGAATTTAGTTCTCAACAACTCCCGTCTATCTTTACAAAGCTTGAACATAATGTGCATCGTCGTGTGGTAATAGAGACGGTAACTTTTTATACAACTGCAATGGCAAAAAGCTGACAGTACATCTGATGGTATGTGGTAAACGTCGTCTATATACATGAACAATGCCATGGAACAATACTAATTCCATAAAATAAAGTTATACCATCGTTCCCTGTAATTTTATTACCTTACGTACTTGGTATATTTATATCATGATCATCCCTGTAATTTAACTGACTTATTTGGTGTTAGATCAGTTATGCTTTATAGAGCAAAGTCGCTAGTTGAATTTTGGCCTGTCTGTTTCTCCTCTTACATCTTCTAAACCGTATGTCCAATATGGATAAGTTTTTCACTATCAGATTGAGATTTTCTTCCGGAAACTTTATATGTATAATACATGCATTAGAACATGCATGTATTATGCAAAAAGAGCAGACAACCATAAAGATTTGTAATGATATGTATAGAGTAACATATTATATATTTTGTCTAAAAAAAATGTACCTATGTACGTTAATTGTACTGGAGCATGTCGCTGGTTGAGAATAAGAACACTATATTTCCTTTAGTATTATTTGTGCTCATAATATTATGAAACGAAATATATTAATACTCCGCACTAACAAAAATAAATAATGCCGTTAAAAAAATAAAAGATCCATATTTCCCTGAAACCTCAAGACATGCCATCGTAAGATTATAAAAGTAAATAAATCAACGGCAGTAGACTCTCATAAACATTAGAGGCCAATTTTTACTGGCCCATTTCGTAATATTTAAAGATGTGCCACCGTAAAATGATCTCTGGACGATTTAAAAAACTCGTATATTTTATGAGGGCATAAAGTTTAATAAGGAATTTATCGATTTCAGGCCGTGGTTTGCTACTTGTGCCGTAAGCAAGGCGTCGACTCGGCGCTGTATGCGTTGCCGGCCGGTTACCTAGCGGGTCTATCGAGTCTGTTTAACTCGTCTCTGGGCTTGTCAATTGCTGTGTTCTCTGGTGCTTTAAAGGTATCGTACTAAATTTTATCTACTTTTATAAAATCATCGTGACTTATCATCACTATATTAAATGAAGCAAAAATTTTGTACCCTTTTTCACGAATATTGCGCGGACGAGGAGTATGAAATTTCGCACTTATATATATTGTTAGGAGTATCCTCTAAATTTAATTAAATAAAAGAAACTGATAACAAATCGTATAATTAATTTTAACAAAATCAGTAAAAGAATTTATAAAGCAAACACGGTATGATACGGAGATTCGTTCGAGAGCACGTCTGTCGACCAAAAGAGGCCGCACACCGGGTTTCGCAGCCTTTTATAGACGCGCCGCACGACGGTGGCGCCACCACAGGAAGTTACACCTAACACGGCCTCTCCTGACGGAGCATCGTCCCCGATGCTTTCTGGTCACGGCGCGTCGTCTGGTCCGACTGCTAATCTTATGCGCTCTGTCCAGGCTGAAAGTATTCTCAGGGCTATTGCTCGGAGACGAGTCAACAGTGACTCTTCACAACCTGTGAACCATAAGTTAGTGGTAAGCATTTTATTTTTGGAAGTAGGATCACGTTACCTCACAAGGACTAATTTAAATCTGATCTAAGCTTGTATACATAGAAGCCACACAAAGCTTTATACGAGAGGTAACCTATAACACACTTTACGCTACACAGAGCCTTACACGAGATGTATCTTATAACACACTCGATGCTGCACAAAGCCTTACACGAGGTGTATCTTATAACACACTCGATGCTGCACAAAGCCTTACACGAGGTGTATCTTATAACACACTCGATGCTGCACAAAGCCTTACACGAGATGTATCTTATAACACACTCGATGCTGCACAAAGCCTTACACGAGGTGTATCTTATAACACACTCGATGCTGCACAAAGCCTTACACGAGGTGTATCTTATAACACACTCGATGCTGCACAAAGCCTTATACGAGGTGTATCCTTTAGCACCCTCGATGCTGCACAAAGCCTTATGCGTGGTGCTACCTAATACACACTCGACGCTGCACAAAGCCTTACACGAGGTGTATCCTATAACACGCTCGATGCTGCACAAAGCCTTATACGAGGTGTATCCTATAGCACCCTCGATGCTGCACAAAGCCTTATATGAGGTGCTTACCTATTACACACTCGACGCTGCACAAAGCCTTACACGAGGTGTATCCTATAACACACTCGATGCTGCACAAAGCCTTACACGAGGTGTTACCTAAATACCTTACGATAAAATTTATCTCAAAAATACAAATTACATTAGAAAAACTCAAATTCCTTTTTGACTCTACTCTATTTTGACTCTGTATAGATTAGAACAATAGAGAAAGCATTTGAGTGTACGAGAATATATTTGTATTCGTTACATTTTATGTACTGCATCATAAGGTATTGAAAGTATAGTGGACCTGGACATTGGGTGGAGAGGAACGTGATATAAAGTATAAGGTAACATGTTTACACATTAAACAAACAATTCCGTGCTCTATAGTATTTCTTTACAAGATGGACCCTACTTTGAAACCGTCAACTAATTTGAACTCGACAACGTTTCCACGTCAATATGGTCAACACGTAGTCTTTAGAAATATAACAATAATCGCGACTTTTTCCTATAGAGATATGTTAATAATTATTTTCTTTAAGATTTATTTTCTTTATATATCGCAAACTATTCAACTGCCCTTGTACAAGTAGTTTCATCATCAGCAGCATATGCTACTACGATTCGTGAGGTTATTAAAAGGATTTCGATGCGTGAGATATGAACTAACCTTTACGATATTCAAACGTCAAATCACGATCCTGTAGGCACATTCACCAGCGCACTACCCTAGGCAAGAGATCCTCTTATAATTTTCAGGGCGTTGCAGTTAGTTACTACCCTAAAATGTTTTCCGATGAGATGACGATGTTGCAATGCCTTGACAACAGCAAGTATCTCGAGCTCAGGAGTAGTACCTTGGATCTGCACATATTGTAAAGCTACTGCGTGTATACGTCCGTCTTTTCCTATTTGAATTAGTACCGTAACCTAGTGCACTTGCATCCGTATGGACTTCAGTCCGTAAATGGTCAAAGATAAGCAACGCGGATTGACTAGCCAATATAGAGATGATCTCATCTCTCTAGTTTCTATTCTTTTCCCCGTTAAAATTTCAAGAGGCGATTTGGGTGTATCACGGGATATACCGAATAAGATAGCTGACCAGTATCACTAAATAATATCAACTAAATATTGCACAAACCATGTCAGCTCTCCTTAAATGATATTGTTTGCATTTGATCAGTTCATTTTTATTATACATCGTCTCAACCGACAACATCGTATTCCGCAACAAGCAGCTTCGACAGTTTTTGGTATCCAAAACTACTACGGCGTTTATTTTCTCTGTCCGTCATACACATGAACGAGGACTGCTGGTAGAGACTTTCCTACTCTAACACCGCTTTAATCTTATTTACTTAATCAACCAATTGATTGCGTATTTAATATTTAGATTTTAATGATTTAGTACTAATTCGCAGTTTGTATTCACACATTTGAACTTAAAATGTACAGTTACCACAAGTGTTCAAAAAAGCAACAGACTTAGTCTTCCTCGCTCGTTCCTTATACGATAAGATAGTTCACGCGGAAGATTCAAAAATAAGTATTACTTGATGAATGAATGAAATGCTCAAATTGAAATTTGTTTGAACGAAGAATCCATCATTTCTTTTTGGATACGTTCGGCCTGACCTGACTCTTACAAATAGTTCCAGTCTCCTAGGATACACAACCTCAGGAGCGAGGTAATTACACTTAGCGGAAATGAATTGTAAACCTGGATTTTCACACGCATGCTTAATTTATAACTGTAAAATAATTTATATGGTCGATTCGGTAATTAACCGTCGTACCTACATAACGCTACTTCGTTAACAAGTAGTCGAATGTGTATCTCTATACGGTATTGACCATAGCTGTGACTGAGCCACTAAAAAGTATTCAGAATGTTTATTCATTAAGACTTTCTTTTTCATCACCACGGAACGGTGTATTTATCAATTGAAGTCGCGCTATCGATTCACTACGCGCTATATTATTTTCAAAAGAGCGGTTTCTAAAAATACGCTAAAATCGTTATTTCGTATACGCAATGTCTTTTCAATATTAAAAATATCATTACCAATGAGTACCGACGTCTTTAAGATAATCACAAGGTACTAAGAAGTTACTTCTTGTGAGATGTTATGAATTTTGCAGATAAAGTAAGAAAGTAATCAAACCGCATATCCGTTTCGTCTAACCAGCATAATATGTGCATCTTACAACACGAAAACGATCATTTGATTTAAAAGAAGTTGTTGAACTACTATCGTACTAAACATTTGTGGGTATAATCAGACTGCATATCCGTTTCGTCTAAACAGCATAATATGTGCATCTTACAACACGAAAACGATCATTTGATTTAAAAGAAGTTGTTGAACTACTATCGTACTAAACATTTGTGGGTATAATCAGACCGCATATCCGTTTCGTCTAACCAGCATAATATGTGCATCTTACAACACGAAAACGATCATTTGATTTAAAAGAAGTTGTTGAACTACTATCGTACTAAACATTTGTGGGTATAATCAGACTGCATATCCGTTTCGTCTAACCAGCATAATATGTGCATCTTACAACACGAAGACGATCATTTGATTTAAAAGAAGTTGTTGAACCACTATCGTACTAAACATTTGTGGGTATAATCAGACCGCATATCCGTTTCGTCTAAACAGCATAATATGTGCATCTTACAACGCGAAAACGATCAGAAGTTGTCGAACCACTATCGTACTAAACATCTGTGGGTACCCGCATATTACGGCGCGATAATTTCGTCGCGATGTGCATTATCACTAGTCCAAGTCACGGCGAAAACTTGCGTTAGCCTAATTCAGATTATTTCTTTGTAAAGTAAGCGTATTCAGTATGACATATTCTTACAAAACGCATATGCGCATTTTGTCCGTAGGTTATTTTTCAAAAGAACTAAATTTACTTCTATACTACCCGACTATATTGCAACTATAGCACCGTATTTGAGAATCTACTTCTATACTACGTAGTTTGCTATCATATATGACCAAGTATGATCATCACTAACTCACTCACGTTACTACGCACTTGCTTCACCTTTCAACAACAAAACTGACACCGTCTGTCGGATCACTGAATGACCACGATCTACTTCATCGCAACTATTCGTCAATGTTGCGCATACTTAAAAGTATGAAATATAAAAATGGAAAGATCTCACCAGATTCATGACATTAAACGTCGATAAGACGTTTCGTAATGTCTGTTGAGGTAGCAACCGATCGCGCCACCGCACCAGGTGCGCTCGTTGGCGCCGCGTTGGCGGGTCTGGCTGGCGCGCCGACTGTCTGCGCGGGCGGCGACAGCGCGGCGGGGCCGGTGCCGGCGCAGGCACGTCGTTAGCATCTACGTCGGCAGCTATATGCGAACCCCTGTTTCGCTGAGCTACCCGCACGTTGTTCCAGCGACACCAATTGTTGAGACTCGCGTCCATTAACGCTCCTAGTTCACCTATATTTGATAGGTGGAGAACGGAGACGCGTGCTCTCGTAACGATGGGCGTTTTCTACTCGACATGTAATCAATCCTTAGTCAAAAATGTTATTCGCGACCAAAAATGGCCTCGAATCCCACTTCTGATGTTAGGAGTATCCTCTAAATTTAATTAAATAAAAGAAACTGATAACAAATCGTATAATTAATTTTAACAAAATCAGTAAAAGAATTTATAAAGCAAACACGGTATGATACGGAGATTCGTTCGAGAGCACGTCTGTCGACCAAAAGAGGCCGCACACCGGGTTTCGCAGCCTTTTATAGACGCGCCGCACGACGGTGGCGCCACCACAGGAAGTTACACCTAACAATATATATTATTTCGATATAGAGAAGGTATGCAGAATGCTAATATTTTGAAAATGATGCATTTGAAATATATTACACACTCTACCCTTTATTTGTCACAGACGCATAGAAATATTGTCTTTGACAATATAATCTTAATAATGTTCAAATATATAATAAAAAATTAAAATTAAAATAATTATAGTCGAATTTCGACCACTAGGCAACCAATAGTTTAGTTTTTTCTCCTCAGTATAGACTATGTCCTTTCCTAAGGGGATATTCCGTTTATGCAAGAAAGGATTACAACCACATATTATGTATGTATGAAGTAGTACTACATTCGCAACTAAATGATAGAATAGAAAATCATTTATTCAAATAAACTTACATTGAAGCACTTTTGAGTAGTCATAACAATTTTTTTTTAATCTACCGCTCATTCGGAATGCTGTCTCATTACAAGAAGAACAAGCAAGACTCTTGTGTGTTGCTCTTTTAAATAATTTATTCTTACTTACAATTTAAGTTAAGTTTAAGTGTGTGAATACAAACCACCGATTAGCACTAATTCACTGAAGTAATAAAATATAAAAAACATTCAATACACAACTGGTTAAACAATTAATAAGAGAAAATAAGTCATTATATTATTTTATTACCATTATTTTCTGTACCTTGCAGCTATTTTCAACGATTCTGTATGAGAAGAAGATTTTGCCTGACTATATACCTCTACCAGAACTGTTGTACTGCTATTGTCAAGGCTCCCTCTTCCATGCACGTTTCATGGACCCTGACATTTGTCCAAACTACGTATTCAATCTCATGAAGACCGTCAGTAATACTCGGTGAGTTTACGTTTACTGTATCTAAAGCTGCACTAGCAGGCTCCTAACAGATTTGGCTTGGCAGGGAGAGAAGCACTAGCTGTGAAGGTGAGTGTTAACGCATGTTGGCAAAGGAACCCCTTAAACCTACACCCGGGTCCCAAGTCTCAGTTCTCTCTCTACCAAACGATGGACCAAGCACCCGCACGCTGAATCCATAGAACCAAGAAGTTCGTCACTCCTTCAAAAGTAAACAACATTTTATGTAAAAAGAATGGCAAACAAACTGGAGACATACCTCATGCGTTCATTGCTATTACCAACAGGTAATCCGACACATTCGTTTTCCATTCCATAATGTCCAGTGCCTATAAAGTGATCAATTCGACATGATATAGTGATTAGGAGGCTGTTTGCATTCCTTCAAATTCTACACATCAGTTATTCAGTTATTTTCCGCATTATGGATTGAAAGCAACCTATTTTACAACCTGCTGCTGCAAACATCTCTGATACGTTATAAAACCAAGGGAGATCCAACAACATCCAAAACTCATTATTATATTATACACGAAGAGTGTAATATGCCCTCTGCGTATACTTAAACAACAGGCCGCACTTGTAAAACTTGTTCTTTTCTTTCTTTCTTTCTGAAACAACTGACAATATGCTTTAAACTTTGCGTCTTTACGTTGACAGTACCTCAGTGGTCTAGCTGTTTAGCACACCGCCTTACTTCCAATGGTCGCGGGTTCATATCCTCGCACGGCACAAACATTTGTATTCATGAGCATGATTGTTTGTGTCGGTCTGAGTGTTTTCTGTATATAAAATGTATGTATTTATGAAAAAAATGTATGTATTTGTATCAGTTATCTAGTATCCATAACACGCTTTAGCTAGCTTAACTTGGGTCTAGATGGTGCTATGTGTATTGTTCTGATATTATTATCAAAAAAATGTCTTTACGTTAATATTACACCGTGCAAACTTATTGTCTTAAAAATATATTTTATTACAATACTAATACGATTTTATTTTTGTTTTCCAGTTGCGAGTGGGTGTTTAATAACATAATGGAAGTAGTGAAGAATGTTCAATAAATTTTAGCGCAGTAATTTAAATAAAGTTAAATCTTTGTTTCCGGGTTTGGATGGGTTCTGTGATAATAATTGAGGTGATTACATCTACGTGAAGATTTATAATATATATAAATTAAATATTTTATACATAATTTTATTGTATAACAAATAAATTAATATTACAATAGAAATGTAGAAAAATCATACACAATGTGTGTTCAGTTATTTTTTTAATTAAATAATGTGGCTATTTATATATTATTATAAAATAGCAACATGGAAAATCGGGTAATTATTAATTTGTTTTATAATTGACTGATTGTAAATAAATTAATTAAATTAGTTATAATAAATTATAATTTTTACTATTTTGTTTTATTAAAATGTAATCGATATATGTACAGAGTACTATAGTTTTTTAAGTGAAATCTATTTAGATCTCGTTAGATTTATTAAGAGGTGCCTTTTCGCTTGAAGATCAAGATAAGACAGTCAAATTACATGTGTTTTAGTTCTCTGGAATAGCTAAATATGAGTTGTATCACAGGTGTCCAATGATAACGTGATATTCGTAGAGCTGTTCATGTATATAGCGCTACCGTGGCAGATTGCCATAGTGAGTGGTGATCATAAAGATAATATTTTTATTATTTATTTATTTATTCTTTTGCACACAAAATTGTATACATGGCGGACTTAATGCCTGATGGCATTGATCAGAGATAGTATGGCGGTGCAATTTTATAAGTATTAAATAGATTAATACAGAAAAATATATATATATATGTATAGGTGTATATATATAAACGTACATATATACTTCTAAAATTATATAATTACATAAATAAAGCGGAATATATAAGCCTAATAATTATCATACAATTTAAATATGATATTAAACTATAATAAATATACAATATATATGATTTCATGACATATATCTTGAGACAGTGGTTTGTGTGAATATTGCTACAGTAATTTCGAGTAGTGTTCACGCAAGGATCTCTTTAAGGAAAATTTGGTTTGACATCTTACATCTTCTGAGGCCAACAGGAAGTGCATTATTAGTCCTTAAGATTTATATAATATTAGTTAATATTGTTATATACATAATATTAAATTTCCTGAAACAAATAAATAAATATGGCGATTATGATAATAATACTGGGGAAGGTAATTGTTAGTAGTGTGGACTGATAACACTATTGCTAGCAATGTCATCAAATCAGGTTAATCTCCAGGTGGTTCCCCGTGGAAACCATCGTGATAAATTCCTGGTGAACCACGATGGGCTAACTGACCTGACCTCACGTTCATCGTATCATCCTCCACTGGTGCCCCGACAACGTAAACAGTTAGGCGGGCGGGTGTACCATTGCATAACAAAAAAAATACTGTAGTTATATGTTCACAGCCAAAAATAAAACATGAATATAGGGTATATGAAATAGTATATGTTCCGGACTAACGATACGATGTTGTCAGTTGAGACGATGTATATTACAGATTATAATAGACTGAGAAATGTACATAAAAATATTGATCTTATATACTAAATAACAATAGGAAAATGTAACGTAGTTGGTGGTGCAGTACTCCATAGACAATATTGAGTTTGATTTTTTTTTATTTGGGGAGTTTGGACTATTTATACCGGTGGTACTTGTAACACTGCGACCTGTATAGCTATTGTGTTCGCTCTTATTCAAAGGTAGGACTCCTAGGAGAATTTAGGAGCGATGATTTTTATCTTCTCAGGATATAGTGTATACTTTCCAAAGGAGATATTTCGTTTATGCATGAGAGGGCTACAACCACATAGGATGTGCAGTGGCGTTACCTCTTCTGGTTGACAAAATCTGTAGATTGATGTTGAGCTAAAGTCTAAGGAGTTTGTCTTACTAACCATAATTAATTGCAATTATTATATTGTAGTATATAGGTAATTGTGTATATATATATATGTATGCGTATACAAAATGATTTTTTAATGGAAACGCTGTCATTATGCCACTAATGACAGACCTCATCCGTTGCTACTCTTCAGGATTAAAGCGTTAATCCTCTTGTGCCGAATATGGAAGACACTATCTTATCTTTTAAGCAGATATACCTTAACGTACGTACATTAAGATGGAAATTATCCACTATTCCCGAAAAATACGATCATATTCCATTATTTTTTATTTTATTTATTAAAACTTTAATGAACAAATACACAAATATTAATGCATATGGCGGACTTAATACGTTCAGGTAATGAATTCATTTAAAAACATTTGAATTTGAAATGATGTCCTAACGGTAATTACCGTGCCAGGTGGGGGGAGGGGGAATACGTAGAAGTCAAGTGAATCTTTGTAAACTCAAACATATCTTTATTTTTGGATATCTATATTAGATTTGCTATAATTATGTCATACTTATGTATCTAACTACTAACAGCATTGAAAACTGTTATCCCAAATAAATGAAAAATAAATATTTTTTTGCTTAAATGTGAGTAGGAGCATATTAGTGTCCAATTCTTATGTAAAAGATCTGATTAGTTTAAAATTTACTTGAGTATTTACTTGTAAATGTAACATTAACAATTTAAAAAGTTAGGTTTAAATAAATAAATATTATTGTAATAATAATATTAATATAAATATGAATGAATGAAGCAATTAATTACTCATTAAACTGATTACATTTTAGAAAGAAAATTATCAACAACAATAAATATCAAATTTATTTTTTTACTTAATGTTGTTTTCTACTATAGTAGTACTTGTTCTTCCCCGTCCAGTTTTTGCGTAATTAGTATTGATTATCACCACCTTCTTCACAACACCTGATGATTTTGTCGGTGCTTGTATTTTTCCAAGACCGAAACGACAAACGGACTCGCACTAGAAATCAAAATTATTAAATTTTAATACAGCATTAGTGAACTTATTCAGAATAGATCTAAATTGAACCTTAAGAAAAGGCTTTAAGGTCTGAACACTATAAACATATTACAAAAGAAATGCAGGTACCAAACCATTCATTATTAACATATGAGGGCCAACAGTCACTTCTTTATTGTCTGTAGTTTAAGGAGCCTTCGTGATTAACAGTACTGTATCATTTGTATAAAATACAATCAAGTATCTCTCTAAATGTATATTCTCCATTCATTCGCAATTTAAATTCCACGCTCTTGTCGGTGAAGCCCTTGCTTCAGGTTCATCACAATGGACTAACTTACCTGACCTCATGCTTATTCTATCATCCTCCACTAGTGCACAGCAGGGATAAACCGTTGTGTAATCGGGTGTAACATTCCATTCATCATCATCGTCATCTGCTTCTTCCTTATCCCATTTATTCGGGGTTGGCATAATATGTTTTTTCTTCCATTCATTTCCGTTCGCAATCGTCTCGTTATTTACTTCCTTTCTTAATATATCATCTTTCACACAGTCCATCCATCTCTTTTTAGATCTTACTCTGCCGTTATAACCATCCACATCCATTATCATCCATTTAAAAAAACTAAATATGAAAGTTTGGACAAGTAGTATTGTATGATAGTGCCAGCTAATAATTTACTTGTTCGAAACTGTAGAAGTTATTCTTGTTTCCACCACATCCGGAGTATATTCTCTGCTTGCAAACTTTCCACATTGGGTCATAATACCATCTGTTAATAGCTCCGAAGCAGAACCCGTAGTCAAATGTTAAGTAACACCATCTTGGACGCATCTCTAAAATACAAGCAGGTAATATAATATTGTTGTGTTAGTAACTTTATTATTCGACTTATTCATTGTCATAACTCAAGACTTGCTGACTACTTACAAAATCTACAGTCATTTCAGGATAAAGTTTGGATTATCGTTTTTTATTTTTGCTTATTTATTGTATGTAGCGAATAAATATTTTTTGTTTCTTTCTTCTTTTTCATTCTTTCTAAATTATTTATATATATTAGGATATATTAACTGTTTATTTATACATTTTCCAACTAAAATATTAACTTTGATTTTGACATTATTATATTACATACTAGCGACCCGTTCTGAATTCGCACGGATGCATTACAAATCTTTCAATTTCTGGTCTTATTCTATACTATAATATGTATGTATTAAAATTTATACCTTCATCTTGGACCATAATTTATTTATTGGTGAAAATTGCATTAAAATCCGTGGAGTAATTTAAAAGATATAAAAATAAGTAAAGTCAAAAGTACAGACAGCGTTAGCGACTTTGTCTTATACTATGTAAAGACATTTTAAGTTCAACATATTATTACGACAATTCTCCCAGGTGGGACATACAGAGGCATTATTAACTGTACACGATGTGGTAAATCCAATACTTTATAAATTGATACGCCGAGAACATTTCAATCACAAACTCCACCTGTGGTAAATATTATATTACTTACTTGGAGTGTCAGGTTTGGTCAAACAGACATTATTACATTCAGTTTTCGTATCGAACCTGTTACCATTTCCTTGGCAGCCGCCCCATTTGAATAGTTTACATTCACTGCTCGTCGGGTCATAGTAATACATATCTATATTTCCACGACATGGCCCTACGTCTGGTTTGAGTAGGCACATCTTCAAAGTTACTAAAATGATAAAAGCGTAATAAAACTTTTTTAAAGTAGGAAAAATTGGCCTGGCCAATTCACAAGCCCCATTTACTGCCAAGCTAAGCAGACCTTGTATTATAAATACTAAATAACTGCATATATTTTTTTATACATACATAATATACATAGAAAACACCTAGACAGACAAAAACAGTCATACTCAATGTTTGGTGTAGAATACGGTAGGTCACTTTGTAATGGCAAAACGAAGACTTTTATAGCATTGGATTTATTGCGACATACAAAGTTTTTAAAAAAATTACAATGAGACGTGCGGTGTTACTTACATGTAGGTACACTCTAGGGCGTGGCGTCCGTTGCGCCGGTTATAAGTTTAAATACCACCATGACACAGCATGCAGAGACAGAAACATAGGCAAAAACATTTTTTTTAATAATTTTGTTTTGAGGCACGGAACTCGTCGCTTACACTCATGAATACAAATATTTGTACCATGCAAAGAATCACTCGCGACCATCAGAATTAAAGCTATACCACCGAGGCTGTAAAATGAAACTTCATAGATAATTTTATAATGGTTCATAGTCACCTTTTGGCACGAATGTTGTCGCTCTTACTAATGCTGTTGAAAGAGTATTATATCTAATCTGTGCGAGGACTTCTATATACAGTACTATAGTATAAAATAAACATTTCCTTATATGTTCCAAAGCCATTTCCAACATTGAAATACTATTTATACTCGTAAATAAAAATTATTTTACAGTGCTTACTGTAAAATAATACTATATAGAATTACATTGAATTATTATTAAAAAGTTAACTTGCTTATTTTATTACAAATTTTATTGCACTTGTATTTCTGTACAATTCACTATTATGTACTAGTAATACTTCCGATGAAATGGCTTATTTGAATTAGTTTTGTAGTGTTCGACGTTTGGTTGATCGAAATAATCTAATGCAATTATTATTAATATTAATTGATAGTTACTTTATTAATGTCAATGAAAAAATCACCAATAAACAATATTATATTTCCTGCATTCACTTAGACAAAAGAAAGGTTAGAAATATAGACTAGGGTCAAGAATAGACCCCTGAGGTATGTAGGCATGTTAATGTCTATCTCTGTGTATTCTGTCCCTAATTCTTGGGGATAGTCTTAAGTCTATAATGATACTGTAATGATCTTGAACAAATCAGATTGATCAGTATTTCAATATTAGTCCCCTAGTTACTAGTTCAATACTGACACTTCTAAATTTTTGTGATGTTTTCTATTTTCTGTTACTTAAATTAATAATAGTAGAGACAAAAAGGTGACAACTATTTATAGTCTACTTTGTCGCTAAATTGCGGTCTCTTAGCAAGGAGAGGGGTGATTAGACTTACGTCGACTTGGTTTTAATACCGTTTATATTCAGTCAGTACAAAAGTTCCAGGACCCATTCACACTTCCAATTTTTGTGATGTTGTTTATTTTCTATCATATAAAATAATAATTGTAAAGACAAAAAGATGACAAAAGATTGAGGTCTACTCTGTCGCCAAATAGCAATCTCTTAGTAAGGGGAGTCATAATTAAACATACGTCGGTCGGTTTGGTTTTAAAGCCGCTTATATTTAGTCAAGTACCCACTGACACTTCAAATTCTTAGCGATGATTTCTATATTCTTTTACTGGAGGCATCCATGCTAGAAACAATTTAATTTTAATCAAATTATTAGGTTTAATTTAGATCAAAAAAATTTCTTTCAATAAAAACGAAGAACTCGCAAATAAATTGCCAAAAATCCTCTTTGCAACCGGGTAAAGCTAGGTGTATTTGTATGTAGCTAAATCGTATATCGTAGCACTAACCATCTAATTAGGAAGGTAATTAGTTTACATATTAACAATAATCCTGGTTCCTTCTGTCTGTTATAACTAAATCCAATCTGTTTCATATAATCCTATAATCACTTAACATAGACGGAATTCCAATTAACCGACGTAATCTGTTGCGCTAATGTATTGAAATTTCATTAAAGCATCTATGCACGACACATCGACGCTCGATTTATAGGATCCTGATACGTTATCGTCTTATTCCGTCTAGAAACAAGTACCTTCTAGAACGTTCTTCTTTATTTTTATTTGACGACCTCGGTGATCTAGCGGTCTAGCACACCGCTTTACGACCGATGGTCGCGGGTTCGATTCCTAGAATAGAATAGAATAGAATAGAAAATCATTTATTCAAATAAACTTACATACATTGAAGCACTTTTGAATAGTCATTACATTTTTTTAATCTACCGCTCGTTCGCACGGCACAAACATTTGTATTCATGAGTATGGTTGTTTGTATCGGACTGGGTGTTTTCTATGTATTATATGTACGTATATGTATCAGTTATCTAGTACTCATAACACAAGCTTCAGCTAGCTTAACTTGGGTCTAGATGGCGCTGTGCGAATTGTCCTGAGATTACTATTGTTATTATTATCTTATTTATTGAATACAGAGATATTTAGAGGTCAGATATATCGCTAGTTATATATCATCCATGACCGCTACCACGGTTAAGACTAGCGGGACCGCCTGGAACTAGGTTCGGGGCCTTGAGTGTAAATCCATTTGGAGGGATATAAATCCATTTGGGGAATGATATTGCACATGCGCTAACGGTTTACGCCACGCTTGGTATATAAAATGAATTTATCACAATGGTTTCCAGGGGGAACCGCGAGGAGGTCAACCTGACATGGTACATTGCTGGTAATGGTCACGAGTACACATTACTAACAATTCCCTTCCCCCGCAGTGTGGTGGTAATTACTCAGTAGAACGCTGCTGCCCCTTCTCTGGTCCATGAATTCCTTAGTCGCCATTTACGACAACCACGGGAAGAGATGGGGTAGTGCTATTCTTACGGCAACACCACATCCAACATCATACGTTATATCATATAATATATGGTGCAAGCGCTTTTTTACACAACAATTCACACAGCGCTATCTAGTCCCCAGCTAAGTAGAGCTTGTGTTATGGGTACTAGTAACTGATATAAATAAAAAGATATATATTTTAAATTGACAATACCTAATAATTATTATCTATTTCATCTAATAACATGAAATAGAAATAGAAAATTACAGAGGAGTGATAATTCCTGCGTACCATGGTACCTAGTCATACTTCCGTACCTTGTAATTTCATTGTCTTATCTCACTCTACAACCGAAACACATGTTACAATATGCTGCAAGCTGCTTGGCTTCAGAAATATCCATTCAGAAGATTTATAATCTCAGGACAATTCGCACAGCGCCATCTAGACCCAAGCTAAGCTAGCTAGAGCTTGTATTATGGGTACAAGATAACTGATATAAATACGTAAATTTTTTTTTTCGGAAATACATAGAAAACACTAAGACCAGATATAAACAATCATACTCATGAATACAAATGTTTGTGCCGCGCCGGGAAACGAACGACCATCGGAAATAAGGTGTGCTAAACCGCTAAACCACCGAGGCCGTCGAATTTATACAAAGTCTATCTCCATAAATTAAGGGTACTGAATATACGTGAAACAAGCAACTTCTCATCTCGACAGTGAATTCCCAAATTGAGATTTTCAAGACAAAATCGTAATGAACAGATGAAACTTTAGATAAATGAGTCTGACGCCTGAACTAACTGAGCAGCTCAGCGCGAGCTCAAAATCTTCACTGCTAAGATATAACAAACTTAACTAAGCCACTTTTGGTCCCAAGTAAGTGTAATCTTAAAATAATGTACGTACTGCTTTCCTTGTTTTTTACCTTATTTTTTTAATAGAAATAGAAATAATCTTTATTCAAATAAACTCAAGCACTTTTGTATAGTCACATTTTATATCTACCACTCATTCGGAATGCAGTTTCATCACAAGAAGAATGAGCAGGAATCTTGTGTGTTGTTCTTTTGAATAGATTTTTTTATATAAATAATTACACAATAACAAGAAAGAGGCATGCGATAATCAACATAGAAATCGCTACGCACTCATTAGTGCACTCAGATAATATTGTCTATATTGTCAGCGCTATGAATTTTAAGTTTATCTACAAAACATGATTGTCGTTAATAATATATTATGGGAAGAGAAGTTTAGTAAAGGGGACTTGGGGTCTAGGAAACTTATAGTTAGTACGTACAATTTCCACGCGGTCCCGCTGGAAATCATTGTAGTAAATACGTCAAGATGGACTGACTGACCTAATTTCATGGTTTCATCATTCAATGTTTTTATAGAATGATTTACATTATTGAAGTTTTATTAGTATGAAATTTTATACAGTACACAATTTTATATAGTACACAATTTTATATTTTCTATATTCATTGTTACTAGTTACTATCAGCGAATTTGTTTGCTTTTTATAGGTTCCAGTTTTTGAGTTTATTCCTTACAGACATACAAATGTATATGTAATTGTTTTTTTTGTGAGAAGAACAATAGAGTTTAATTCATTCATTCATTCATTCAAATCAATCATCTTTATTATTTTTGTGTAAATAAAAAAAAATATTTTCTATTGTTTACTACTATAGGTAATAAAATATTTATAATAAAAGTAAACGCTTATCAACGTTAGTTTGTTCTTGAATTTCATGAAATAATGCAATATTATAGATTATTCCAGCAACTTAGACTGCATTGTTTTAGTAGAATATATATTTAATGTAATCTGTATTCACGTCAAATTTCATGAAGACCCGTTCAGCTGTTTAAAGATAAAAAAGACAACCATGGTTATAAGTTCCTGGTGAATTTGTCATGATGGTCTAACTGAGCTAATCTCATACTCATCTTATCATCCTCCACTGATCCCCGTTATCTTAAACCGTTAGCGCAGGCGGATGCAACATTCCATTATCATCCATTAATAAAATCAAGCAGATTTCCAATTATAATACTCGTATCGTTATTTACCGATAATATAGTTATCGATATTATAACATCGGTGGACCGACGATCTGGTCGAGATCGCTGGAAGGCATTGGATGTAAGCAGCGCAGGACCGATAGTCGTGGAGATCCTTGAGGGAGGCCTTTGTTCAGCCGTGGACGTCTTCCGTGCCGAGATGAGAGTTATTACCAAGTACGACGTTGTATATTATATATTTTCCTTTTTATATACAACTAGATACTCGCTCGGCTTCGCACGGGTGTACATGTATTGACATATAAACCTTTCTCTTGAATCACTGTTGCTAAAAACTACATTAAAATCCCCATGGATACTAAAATTACTAAAAACTAGTCCATACTAGTTTTTAGTAATTTTAGTTGGTACTAAAAATTATTAAATTTAAATTACTAAAACATCTAAGTGAACAAACAGCGAAAGCAACTTCAGTTTATAAAGTAAATATTATAATCAAAGCGCGAAATGGATGCCCTACCACCCTACCACCCTAGTGTAAGCCTAGTATTAAATGTAGGAGTACTCTCATTTAGTATTTATAAGAGGACTTCCAATTCATCTAAATTCTTCCGCTCAACCTAAATACTACCATGCTCCAAATTTATGAACCCTATCAAGAATTCCTTTTGCGATTTCTTATCTAGTTGTCTATCTAACTGAATACATATCTCTTATGAGATAGGCATAGATAAGTAACTACTTTTGATATCTATCATAATCTGACGGCCTCGGTAGTCTAGCGGTTGAGCACGCCG